TTAAATCAAGTTATACAAATGATTAAATAGTTAAAATGTTATATTAATTATATTTTAAGAAATCCGATTATATAAAAATGGGTAAAAAAATATTATACTAATTAGTTTGTTAGGATTGTGATTATATGGAAGTTAAAATAAAATGAAATGTAACCAAAAAATTTGTTCATGTTTTTTCCTAAATGTTTGAATTTAAGAATCTAGTAACCAAATTTACATTATATCACGTAACGAAAAAAAATAAATAATAAATATTTATTAAAGAGATAAATCAGTAATATTTATCACTTAGATAATAAATAATAAATATTTACATGTAAAAAAATAAATAATAATATATTTAAAAATATAAGTCAGAATTTCAAATAAAGTAAAAGGAGGGATAACTCATTTTTTAAAAAAAGTTTCTAAATATTTAATATATTGATAAGTATCTCCATAAGAATAATCATACCATTTTAATATTAGAAAAATTGGCAAGTTTGTTAGAGAGATAAATCCGGTTAGACAAATGATTAATTTGTTAAGATATTATATTAATTGTATCATAAAAAATCGGTTAGATAATGTAGATAAAAAAATATAATACTAATTAATTTGTTAGAAATGTGATAATGAAAACCAAGATAAAATGAATTTACCCAAGAAAATTGTTTGGAATCTTTTCTTTTAAATGTTTGAATTTATAGATTTAATACCGAAATTCTATTATATCACATAAGGAAAAAATAAACAATAAACGTTTATTAATATATTAAAATATGTAATTTTGAATTTCATATAGAGTAAAAGGTATGCTTATTCAAATTTATTTTTAAAATAAAAGTTATGATAAACATTTATTGATTCTCTTTCAAATATATTAATAAAATAAAAATATAAATCTAAACAAATTTTGAAACAACCAAAAAAATCGGATTGATTGGCATAAAAAAAGGAAGTGAAATCGGATTTGAATGCTAAAATCGGAACACCTTACCAAATTGAATGCTAAAATATTCGATTTGATTGGTTACCTAATTGCATGGGCTGAAAAAATTCAAAAAAAAAAATTTACGAATTGAAGAAGCGGGAAAAACACTATATTGAAGCGGAAAAACGAAATGATTATTTTCGGATTGTTCAAATAATTTTTCTTCTCCGTATTATATAGTAATAGATATCAAACTATTCCCTAACTAGCCATTTGTTTATTTTCTATTTAAGATAATTTATCTATCCACCATTTTAGTTGTGAAAATCAGTTCTGATTAAATCTAGTCCTTCATTGTCCGTTCTAAGCAATTCAAGGAAAAAAAACAAAATAATGACAGGCAGCTTCACCTGAAAAAACACGAGAAATTAATTCAATATAATGTACAGTAATCAAATTACACTCAACAATAAAACAAGTTAACAACCACCCAAAATAATTATAATAATAATAATAATAAAAATATAAAATAAAAATTCCCTAGCAAAAATCCTATACTATTGGCACAATATACACACACACACATTAAAATTGTACAAAATCCTGCATTATCAGTAAAACCTTTCACCTGTGTATAAGGTATCTGAAATCAAAATTATAAGGCATCACTTGCATTAAGTTTGACAGAGGCTCTTGTATCCTTCTCTCAAGACATTTTACGGCTTCGTCTCGGATATCATCTGGCAGCTGCAGGCAAATCCAGTCGAGCAACGAGTCCAAATCCTTTGCAAAATCGAGAAGGTACCAATCGAGTAGCTTCGTAATAACTATCTTGTCTGAAGATGAAACGAAAACCGAGGCTTGTAGATAATCCATTTTGGCTGCTTCTAATTCTGTCTCGATTTGAGTTGCAGTATACACTCTCAACTAAAACAAAAACCTTATATTTAGTTAAAGATTTTTCACGAGCCAACTCATTCTGTTAGAATTTGCACAAGGGTGTTAAGATTTTTCATGATATGCCTTTGGCTTGGATTTTACACACAAATATAATCGAGACGAACTATTGATACGTTTATACCACAATAAATCGCTTACTTTCACAAATGAAGCTTTTGCAAGCATTCTGAGAACTTACAGCAGGGGAAGACCAGCTTCCACAGGATAGTGCAAATGTGACCATTGGTTCTGACCACTCCAAACCGAGTGTTTTGCAAATCGTACTTTCGTCATTTTTGGTTGATTTCAAGCAAGTCTATACAAAACAAAA